ATCATTACGCTGTCCAGGAGTCCTTTAAAGAATACGAGGTCTACATTTATAGTGCACTTACAGTATATATATATACTTAACCCATTCAGTGGAATTGATTAACCTTATCTAAAAGGAAGCTTCATGATTAAGGACTGGCTATTTAAACATTCAATAATATTTCAAAACATTTTTAAATTTACCATTTTCAAAACATTTTTGAAAATGGTAAATTACAAAAAAGTATGCTCCCTGGTGAGGTCAGATTTGCTTCATGTTTTTGTTCAAGACAAAGACAGAAAATGAAAAACTAAACTAAAATGCATCATGTTGTATTGCTTCATACACAGTTCATCAGCACTGTTCTTCATTAGGAATATTAAATGTAATATCATGGCTTTTTATACTTTGTAATATACATATTAAAATTCTACATTCATTTTCTGCTTGTATTTTTTCTGCTTATATTATGACATTGATGAGAGAACAGTCAACAACATCAATTTACAGGAATAACCTTTTTTTCCAATTCTAGATTAATCAATGGGTGTATCCATAGTAAATCTCCAAAACTACTTCACAAAGTCACCTACATCACTGTAGATTTTCTGTGTCACTTTTAGCGGTGTGCACATTATTAAAGCCGCTATGTTTGATCAAGATAAACTCTGTGCAGGGGCCATGTGTTCACCTGGATCATGTCACTTACAAACTGTTTTATCAAACCTCAGGCAGGAGCAGAGGCCTGTTGAAAAGCCCCAACCTCAAAGAGGGCTATGCCATACTCAATGTTGTTTGAATTTAAGTATGAGCTATTTATCTTCTACACAAACAAACATGACAGGGACTAAAATATACTGGATTTCCAAATGTATTCAGTGTTGACTTTGTTTTGACGGTGTTCAGTAAAGACACAAAAGGTTAGCCTTGTGTTTTCAGTGCAATTAATGGAGCTTTATCTTTGTCTGCCGTCTTGGACCAGTGTGACATGCTTTGTATTGATTATTTATACATGCAAATCAATGCTACACTGTAGCTTTAATAGTTTAGTCAATCATTTGTGATGGTGTACCCAAATCTATGTTCTTGATTTGATCAATCTATTTTGTCCTTTGTGATTGATTAACCTTGAGCAGTCAGGTATTTGTGAGTGCACAAACCCAGTGAACCAAAACAACAATTTTAATGAAAATCCTGACTATTTTCTTTTTGGAAAAAGTCCAGAGGGTAAGTGCTTTGTCCAATTGTGTATGTGAAGGACGTGCTTTTTTCTTTCTGGATGTAATCAAAGCATCATTTTTGGATTGTTCTGCTGCTCTGAGCTTCGAACAATCAGCTTGAAGTATCTGTTTGTCCTGATCACTTTCAGCAAGAGTGTCCCAGATTAATAATGTGTACTCAGTTCAATTCAGAGTGCCACACATTAGTTATTAACCTCTGCTGTGCAAATAAAACAATTATTATAATATATTGTTTCTAAAATCTAATTTGGAGGTTTAATGGATGGCACGTTTCTTGGATTGTTCTTTGTGTATACTCAGACTTATTGTACATATATTCCTGTTCACTGTAACAACTAACTGACCTAGTACAAATGATGATGGCCTTATGTAACCCAGTCTCAGGTTGAGGCTGGACCCTGTGCTGGACATGCCTCTGCAGTCCGAGTGATACAGTATCTGCAGCTGTCCAACTGTTAAGAGGAATGTGAGAGTGTGTGGATTGTATTTGGGATTCGTATTACCAAATTTATCAAGCCAAGAGTTTGGTTACTGAGTTAATGAATAGTCCAGAGAGTCAAATGAAAACTATTTCCATCCTATCACTAATTTACAGAACTTTTCCACTATCACTTAACATGGTTTCAAGCCTTCTTACACATGCTTGTGAAAGGGCCAGGTACTTCACTCATTTAGCTCTAGCCAAAGGTAAAGTAACAGGCAGATAATAACCTACAGTCAGTATTGTGGAGACCCATACCGGACTTTGATGTGTTTAAGTGGATTTGCATTTACAGTGAAAATACCCACATTACAAGGTTTCATCTCACCCCAGTGCCCACCTACTCTCACTGTAAGCCTAGGTACTCTGAATCAATGGAGGTTAATGTTTATGTAATGTCAATCATGTCTTGCTGTAGATATGTAGTTAAAAAAACAAATATACAAACATACAATTAATATGAAAATGTTTCAATATAGTGTATAAGCATATTGTTAAGAATGACTGTATATTCCAGACAGTAGTAAAAGTAACCCCTTAAATCTTCGGGGAACTGAGTAATTCTATTGATATCCAAATGTTTACTTACTACATTTACATGCACTCCAGAAAAGTAACCGACATTGTCCACTTTAATCTTTTTCTTTTAAAATGCACGAAAACACAGGAAATGATTTAGGTCCCAATAAAGTATAAAGACTGTATGTACTTGGATGACTACTGCGTGTAACAGCGCAGCCTGATTTATAATACCTCGTGCCTAGGAGAGGCATTCAAGCGCACAGGGTATGAAAACGCCAGGAAAATACTAGACATGCGTTGAATGTGTACCCACTCATTTTACATCAGTAGCAATGACAAGCAACAATCCCTCCATTGCACACCAGCGCTGTTTCATCATTGTTTTGGTCCGCTAGATGAAAATTACCAGAGCTTCACTGTCTTTATTTGTGCTGCAGAGAGCAAATAACTCATGAGTAATGCAGTTCCTAGTATGCCTGAAAATCAAATGCTCAAAATAAATGAGATGTAGCTTATCTATTTCTACCAAGAGTGTGGCTATAAGCATGATTTTTATGAGTAATTCAGTTCTTCTCGAAGAGTAGGTCTGACAGATTTTGAGGCAAAGACTATTTGCATTTGGTTGTAGTTCCCTATGTGTATAAACCTTGTGTTTCAGCTTCACTTGAGTCTATTTGCTCACTCATAAAATTAATTCCTCAGAAGACTTGACTTTGTTAACTATGCTGAGTTTTGCACTTTGACTTTAAAAATGACCATATACAGGATCCCCCACTGATCTTATTTTTGTTCATGAGTCACTAAAAGACTTGTACCCTTGAAATCCAATAAACGTACGTCACTGTCCTTTTCCATAGATACAATAAACCCAGTGTCTGTAAGGAGTCCGAGACAAAGCAGATTTATGATGCTCTCAATCGGAGATGAGTCTGGTCAAGGTGCCCCTGTCACAGCCACTACGCTTCACTGACACATGACTACACTTTTAAAATGCAAAACACAGCCACTTTTATGCCAATGCTACTTTTCTGACAGTTTAATTTTAATGTGCATTTTATTCGCTGACTTGGTTGGAATTTGTCTTTCTGTCAGAGCTGGTGTGTTTGTGAGACCCTCCTCTGCTTCACAGCGAGCAGCAGCGGTCTGGGGGCGGTGCTCTGTGTACACAATGCAATTTCAACTATGAAGACTTATGATCGACCTTGCAGTTATTAAATCAGCCTCCACTCTTGGACGGGGAAAAAAACAACATAGCCTGAGTGAATTTAGATTTGGTTTGTAATTTTAACAGTTGCATAGACTGCTGGAGAGTGATTGGATATACTGTACTCTTAAAATGTCAGATAACTTTGAAATATATATAAAAAATGAATTGTTATGTTATGACTTTTATGGAAGACAAATCTAGAAGACTCTACTTCAGTGTTTTCTCTAATTTTCTCAACAACGCCCTGATTCATCAGCCGGTTTCACTTCATTGAAACCGTCTGACCTTGCAGCATTAGGATTAGTTCGCTCAACAGTAGGCAGGTACTTTTTTTTATTTAACCAATCACTGCTATTTGGTCGTGATGTATTTACTGCGCCAAATTCCATAGGAAGAAGGGCAATAACATCTTTCCCGCTGATAAAATTCACCAAACATTATCTTTGTTCCGGCTTTAAATTCTCAGTCTTGGGAATCGTTGCCAACACAGAATGTATGGCTTCATCTAGATCCGTCTTGACCGCTTTGTTTACTCTTGTGCTTTACCACAAAAGGGACCCAGTCATCTCTTCACAGCTCTTCGCTCATTGGCCGGTGCGCGTCTACAATTTCCAGGGTTCTTGCAAACCGTTTAGTGTTCTGATTCCTGACCTAGTCGCTGGAGAGAAATTAAATTGAGCAGAGGCACTTGGTGCCAGCCTGGCTAACTAACTACCACCTCAGATAATAAGTTGCTTTCCAAGGACCACCAGATCTGTTCACAAGTTAATCAGGCCTAAATTAAGGTTACATATGGTCTTAAAAGAGACTAAACCTGCAGATAGGGTGATTCTTCATGACGATCAACACAAAGTAATACAGTAAACCCAATATGCCAATGCTTGTATAAATACTCAAAGTGTAGAGGGCACCTTCTACCACTACATGTACCACAGTTTGAGAAACACTGCTCTAGTCTTTGAGTATATTGCTGTTAAAGTGGTAACACATTTTTGCTGGGGTACCTGATTTTTAAAACATGAGAAGAGAAGAGCTCTCATAAAGCAGTTGTGTTAGCCATTAGAACTACTTCTTCATCCAGAGAAATGGAGCAGGTTGGAACACCAAAGGACAGCCAATCTGCTCTCATCCCCAAGTGTGTGATATTTACCCACATGGATCTCTTTTACAGGTTTACAATCCAAAAAATGTTGCATAATAACAGGCTAGATCTGTGGAGAGGCAACACCATTCAAAGAGAGAATGATTGTAATTTTGAGCAATAGAAACACCCGTAATGAATAAATACAAGATAGATGTGGTTAATGTCATACCATGGAACATTCCAGGCACAGCAATAACATCTCCATGGTGACAAGCAGATAACAGACCCCCCCCACCAGAAAAGTTGTACAATGCACCTTTAAGGGGTGAAAAACAAAATGTATTCATTAAAAGTTGGATAATTCAGCCTTAACTCAACCGTACAACCAAAAATGGCAAAATCTTCACACAGTTTTTCCTCAAACCAATTTCCATTTTCTTTCAAGACAATCCTCTATACTTTAATGACACATTTTTGTTTGTGCAGGGGTTGAAGGAATGGAGTGCTCCCTGCCGATGGATGGGCGGCGCGTGTCCCTCACACAGCTCTCTAAAGACAGTTTCCGAGAGTGTCAGGCCACTCTGACTCTCACAGACCTGCTCATCATCATCTTCTCTGGCATCTCCGTCTCCGTGGTGGCCATCATGACCAGCTTCTTCCTGGCTTCTACTGTTCACTGCTTCCAACGCTGGAGTAAAGGAACCAAGGGTGACGAAGAGGAAAGTGAGGAGTGAGATATTCTGCAGAACTGTTTTTAATACTTTAAAGCTGCAGCAGTCACTTATCTGAGCACTGTTCCCTGTTAGGATTTACACTGGAATGGTTATGTTCTGAAGGCTAAAATATGGTCAAAGAGAGAGCAGGGGGTGACTTATAGCTATTATAAAGGTTAGGCAGATCACGCTCTGCTGGAGACTCATTGTACACTCTCATTTACGACCAGGCGTCTTGGGTTGTGGCTCTCTGTAATAAATAGGTCTAGATTAATGTAATGGGACTGCCAGTGCTATAGGGACAGTCAAATAGTGTAGTCCAAGAGCAGATGTGTTAGTCTTAGAAGTTCCACAGTGGGAGTCTCAAACCCCAAAAATTAGTGCTGCTTTGTAAAGCGAGAAATTACCTCTGAAATCAACTGCCGAAATGTGGACGTATCCTGCCATATGTCTCTTTTGAATATCAATATATTGGTGGTTAGTGGTTAACAAGCACCATAGAAGTTAAAAAAGCACATTTCCAACAGTTTGGGTAAGGAATGGTTTAGATTGCTAGTGTTTTCCAATGGGCCTGGGCAGATATCATGTCAAACAAAGTCACTGAAACATTGGCCCATTCACAGACGCAACAAACTGGGCAGGATTCAGAGCCTTTTTAGCAATTCACTTCTCTTGTTCTAACCTAACCTGTGCCATACCAGCCTGGTGGAAATGTGTCCTTTCCTTCTCTCCTCTCTACTAAATAAAACTGTTGACTACAGTAACAGTGTACTGTAGTTTAGCCAGCTACTGTTTTCAGTATGCATTACACTTTCATAACTCATTGTGTACAATCAGCATATACTATATTAGAATGACTGCAGATTGTTTGATTCACTAAAATGTCTAGAAAAGAATATACATATTGTCAGCAATATAATCTTAAAATGGTGGAAATATAGTTGATATGTAACTACTGTGTCAAATAATGCACTTTAAATGATTCACGTAACTCGGGTGAGCTCCTCCATGTGAACTGTTTGCCAAAGAGAGGGGCTTGGTAAGACGCTGTTGTGACCGATCCTCACAGTGGGACTGCATTATGGCCAAATGCTGGTCTTCAAACTGTACTCAGTTGAACTCCAAAGATTTATTTTACATTTCATGATCAATGTAGCTGATTCAGCGTGGCTTTGGATGACCTCAGAATATTTACAGAGCAGCAGAGGCAGTAAATTGGGCTTGGTCACTGGTGGTAATTTGTACATTTATTTATGCTATCCACACAGGATAACTACAAGAAATAAATATCATCTACTCACATGCAGTGGTCCCTTTACTATATTGTGACTGTGTTCATTTGTGTTGTTGCAAAAATGTTTTAGAGAAAAGTCTGTGCCTATGTGCAGGGCCAGGTCTATAGGTTTACTGCAAAAGGCTGGATTGAAACCTCAGTAAAAATGTTTGCACACTTTCAGGTGCCTAAAATAATGCCACTTAATGTTATGTTTGCACCCCTTTGATACTCTGATGCACCCCCAGTTTGTTTTATTTGCACCTAAGCCTGCCTTAGTGGGAAAGAAGTTGATTTTCAGATTCTTGAATAAGTATATCTTATAATACAGATGCAGATGTACAGATGTTTTCCTGCATTTTGTCTTGGACATAATCCATTGGCCTCCTTGCAACTTTTGAAGAGTGAATTAGGCAAACCCTTATTATAACTTTCAACTAAGACACAAACCGATAACATCATATTAATGTCACTAGGCCTTTGCTGTGATGGTCCTGGTGTCATTGGTAAGACCTGGTAAGACCCAAAAGATGTTCCTGGAAAGCCAACATCCTGCAGCTGAGACGCAGCCAAAACAGTTCTCTGTGTGAAACCGCCGAATTTGGATTTCAAACGCGCAAACTCTGAGCCGCTTGTGATCTTTACTCACATTCTAAGACTGAAGACAGGAGTGGGTCCTCACATCTTTGTAAAGCATGAATAATTCAGCAAATAGAAGATATGGAGCAGAAAAAATGTCACAGACACAAATATAAAATAGCAACCAATGGATAAAAACAAAGATCTGAGCTATGAACAGTGTCTTCTCTCAGCGAAGATGTAAGAAGAAAAGCCAAATACTGTACACTCCAACATAACGCTGAAGCCACAGTGGTTTGTTTTCCTCATTAGTGTTACCATCAGTAACAGTGGAGGGAAACTACATGCACATTTCCATATAAAAATGAACCTGCCGTGTGATTTTTTAAATGTCACACAAATATAAACTTTGCAAGACAATACAGTATAGATGGCTGCCTGCCATAATGTCATATTCACACAGTGCAGTGAATTGACTGAGATGACGGATAGAGGGAAAATGTCATGGAAATGTTAATAAGGTGGAAGAAATCTGATTCTCTGTGAAAGGTAATCAATAATAGTACAAGTCTGTAATAAGCTCAAAAGCAACTTCAGACCATCAGCCAGAAAGTAAAATAATGAGAGGATAATGAAAAGGAAAACTGGAAAATCCTGTCCAAGCACAAAGAGAACAAAGGACTCCATTAACTTAAAAATAATTGTCAAGAAATTCAACTTGGCAAGGCATCAAGGCAACCATATGTGCTTATTTATTTGGTAGAAAAAATATATTTCTTTATTTTGTTGCATCATCCAAAATATCTCTTTACAATGTGCCAACTCTCACAGATGGTGGTCAGTGCTCAGAAAGATGCTCATAATGATTCTTATTGTGCAGTCATAGTCATGGGTCTCATGAGTCGACTCCCTTTTTCCTCGAGTGGCTCAGCCTCAGCATTGGCACTCACACATCTGTAAACAGAACACAGTGTGTTATTTCACACTACTGCTGCCACGCTGCAGGTATGCAAATTCAGGCACTATTTTGGGAATCAGTGTTTGAGAAATTAGAGACATTTGCTTGCACAGCCAACTAAACAGCCTGTTCCCAGACACACTTTGAGTCTTCATGAAATGGGAGGATAAGACTAATGAAATTTAAATGATTTAAATTTAGAGTAGAGATATTGTATTTGTGGGAGTCTACACTGTATTTCTGCTTGCTCGGGTGCTTTCCTGAAGTGAACTGGAGACAAAGGATCTACGAATGAGAACAAGTCTAACCCTCAGGGCACAGCACATTGGCTGGGATGAAAGCGGAATAATGCTGCTCACATGAGTCAAAGCAAATGAACACAGAAGCTCTTATAGAGGAATTTAGCATTTCAAACACAGACCATTGTGGACAGAGCATGTGACTCAGGCTCAGACATATTATAATCCGTACAGCTGAAAAAAGGGCTGTGACGAGGGATGGTGTCGTGATGGGGATTCTGCTGCTTCCATTTACCTCATGTGGTTGTCATGGCGACACAGCCAGAGGGCCAGGCTCTTGGCCGCTGGGATGCTGCTGGAAATCGTGGCCCTCAAATCGTGACTGCACTTTCTCTGTCAGCTGTGTGCTCGAATAAATGAGCCAAATGTAACATTATGAAATGATTAATTTATCTGATTGCATCATAGTTCCCTCTGCTGGAGCTGGGTTGTTGTCCTTTTTACTATTTTAAATGTCACATGGGTCACTATGTAAATTACTTGCACCGTGCACACAGTTAACCTCCTGTCACATTGCAAAGGAATAAAATGTTTAAAAAAAAATTAAAACACCTGACTTGCCAAAATACATACTTTTTAAATCTCTGTAGAGAAAAGACAATCAGGTTGGTTAGATATTTTGTTTTGGAAAATAAAAACTGATTTATTTACGTAGAGTGTCTGCTTTCAGTCCTGCTACTGACCTACAAACACAGGAAGCTTGCGGGACACAGCGAGAGGTAAGCTAACCCAGAGAGAGGAAGCTCTGCATGAATAATGGACTGTGCTTTACAGTGGGATTATGGTGTGGGGAGGAGGGGGCACGGGGACTTGGGTTACACACACTAAAACAACACACACCTGATGCTCTCCCCCACCAATGTCAGGCTTCACCCCAGTTTCTAAAAAGAACTGATTTAGTGCAAAATGTTCTGTGTGGAAAGTTTTAAAGTCCTTGGATAAACCTACTATAAATAAATAATAACCACAAAATTCAATGATTTCAAACTAAAAAGTAGATTGAATATTTTTCTAAAAACAGTGTTGTCTTAGCTTTAAATCTTGCTGTGGCCTTGAGTCTTAATGTATGAACAACATACTTGGTGCATACATTAGTAAGCAGTATACACATTCCACGTGCATAGTTTGCAGAATGAGGTGTAATGTATGCAAATGCATTATGTAGTAGTTCATCAAATGTTGAGCTGGTCTTAAAAGCTAATTAAAATTCCTCACCACAGGGGTATGCTCGAGATAATAACAGTATATCTTTTAATTGCAGCATAATCCACTCTTCTTTCTAAATGTTTTTGTTTGTTTGACCTCAGAGCTGAACTTGTATCATTATAGAGAGAAATGATCATGCACAAACTGTCTAATGATTCACTGGATTCAGCTGTTATCCCTGCTCTATACATCACACATCACATCTCCTTCTCAGCTGGGAGTGATGGGGTCATTTCAGCCAGCATCATTAACCCAAAGCCTGGTGGTTTGATCCGTGGCAAAACACCTCACTCACCTTACCTATGAATGTGCATGTGAGTGATTGTTGTGAAGATCCAATGACATTTTTAGAAGCATTGCTTCCATCAGTGTTCCATCAGTCCACCCCAGGGCAGTAACTTCAGATACTATCTCCTTCAGGTATACAGAGTTACACAGTTAAAGGTACAGTGACCTGTTTTTTACCGTCTTAAAAATGTGAAAAACAGAACTAGTTTATTTTAAATGTTTGTAGCAGTCCAAACATATTCTTCACTTTCCTCATGCATTCCTAGCATCCTAATTATTTGCAGTGATGAGATTGTAGGCATATTTCACAACTCTCAGACGCTACATTCTGCCATCAGCTAGCATGCTAACAGTGAATGGTTAGCATGCTAATAGGTGAGTTTCACGTGACGTCACAGGGCTACGTTTGTCAGCACACAAAATCAGATGGAGGGCAGGAAGTGAACTGACTGGAGGAAAATGACGATGTGTTGTGTAGTTTACAGCTGTGCCAATCGTTCTAACTGAGAGAAGGAAAAGCGATTTTTTTAGAGTACCGAATATAGTCGTCCACAAAGGTCAGAAATGGGAAAAGCTGACAGAACAAAGCCGTAAAAAGTGGATTACAAACCTGTTTGTGGTCACGAGGAGCAGAATTCACTAATGCTCGTGTCTGCAGTGAACACTTCTTCAAAGGTTTGTTACAAAGCTAAATTGTTTTTTGTGGTTTATCTAAACATAAACGAATCATTAACGACTAACAGCTAAGGACGTTTGTTGACATTAAATAGTTCAGATAGAGGTTACTGTCAATACACTGCAGTTTTTCCCATAACAGTTTATACACATAAAATAAGAGAAACACTCACCCCGGCGAAGACCAAACCATAATCATCATTTAGGCGTTTTGCACCAAGGTTGAGGATCCATCCACTGACAAAAAAAAGTTATATGCCTCCAAACTTTTGTACACCTTCATCTGTTGTCTGGTGTAGAACGATGTCTGAAGAGCTAAATAGTTCGTGATATCCTCTGCCTCGATTGTCGGCAAATCTTTTACTTCGGTTGAAAATTCTCTCATTTTCAATAAGATCAGGGTCACGCCCAATATATTTGTCGACTAACTGCTCGTACTTTTGCCTTGCTACTGGCTCTAAATTCTTACAATAAGAACTCTTCTCCATATCTGTGTTCTCCAGAGCCGTGTTTGTCGTGTTTGTCTTCACTTCCTGCCCTCCACCTGAAATTCGCGCATCATTGTGATCACGTGACTCAAACCCTCCTATTGTCTTTGGTTTGCAGAAAGTAAAAAGTCTTTTATTATTTGACACATACAGTACACTGCAGTCTTATTTTGACCCTGCTTTTACTCTAATGCACAACAATTGAGTACATTGCATTTAATTACCCAAAACATGCTACATAGGTCTCCAGGAAGAATAGCTGATAGTTAATGTCAGTTAAATACAACCAATCAAAGAACCTGCCCAGGGACTACAGGTGGAACTTAGCACTGCTGCTACAACCTGGTACAATGCATCTCTCCTGTTCAGGTTACTGTAAATTGTGCACTGTCCCTGTCTTATTAAATAAATGAACCTACGTACTGACTAATTAATAATGCACTGAATTGTAAATTGGTAAGTA